ATAGAGGAGGGCGGCGTAAAACACAAAAATATGCACCTAAGAGGGAAGCTGTCAAAGACTTTATTAAGAAGCTCGAGCCTTTAGAAATACATTACTGCAGAAGTAAAATAAAAAGTAGACAATATTTGTCATCTGAGCTCAGCATTAGTAAACTTTACAAAATGTTTATCGCAGAAACCGTGGATGAAAATAAAAATATTAAGGCATCTTACTTCAGACAAATTTTCAAAACCGAATTTAACATAGGTTTTGGATCCCCTCGTACAGATATGTGCTCCACTTGCATAGTTTTACAAGAACGACTAAAACATGAAAAAAATAGTGAGATAAAAAATAAATTAATGATTGAGAGTAGAATTCACAAATTGAGAGCCAAATCGTTTTATGCTTTATTAAAACACAACAGCGAAAATATTTTAATTTTAAGTTTCGATTGCCAAAAGAACCAACCGTGTCCAAAAGTTCCCGATCAAAGTGCATATTACTCGAGGCAGTTGTATGTGTACAATTTTACGGTGGTAATTGGAAATTCAAAATCGCCATTAACTGTTAATAACACGTTTATCTATACCTGGACTGAAGACGTCTTGCCGAAAGCATCGAATGAAATTGCTAGCGCTGTTTTTCATTGCTTGAATTCAATTTTCTGAGTCCTGGGTTTGGAGCATATTACACAGATTCGTTTGGTAGCAGATGGATGCAGTGGCCAAAATAAAAACCAATCTGTTCTTGGTATGGCAGCTAAATGGTTACAAGACTATGCACCTGTACACATTTTGGGCATAGAAATAATGTTTCCAGTTGTTGGCCATTCATTTTTGCCACCAGACAGAGTTTTCGCAAAAATTGAAAAAGAAATAAAAAGTCGTGAGGTAATGACTTGCCCTGACGATTATTACGAAATTTTCATCCGTCATGGGCCTGTATATTACTTGGGACTTGATATAAAAGTCTACGACTGGAAACGATCATCGGCTGAGGTATTAAAAACTACAACTAACATGCACTTTTCGATTAAAAAATGTAAAAGATTTTTTTTAAAAGGACTCGTGACCAACAAAATGTTTACATTCGAGCGGAAGAATCTTATCTAAATACTGTAAATAAGTATCAAAATATGTGTAAAGGAAAAAAGAAGGTTTCTGCTATAAATCCAGATGTGATTAAATTATATGTGGACGTTAAACAAGAAAAATTAAATGATGTGAAGAAATTATTAACCACACATTTTGGAGAAAGTGGGAAGAAATCTCAGATTTACGATATTACAAACAAGTAATATCAAGACCAAAATCATCTACTGCTCATGAACAGGTTGTTGAAGACTGTGATTTCTTTGAAGAATTACCAGCCATAGTAGTTTAATAAATTTCAAAAACATAAAAGTGATGGATAAAAATTAAGATTTTTCATATAAAGCAAGATTGATTATGTACCAAGTTGTTTATATTTATTGTTACTACCCAACCGACCCGACCCAAATAAATATTGAGAACCCCTGACATGATATTGTTTTAGCATCAAAGTCAGTCATATCCATGCTATTAAGGGATCAAACATAGTCAAATCCAAATACATCAATAACAAAACTAGTCAAATCCATAGCTTGGTTTCGAAATAGGTCAAATCCCAAATTTAAATTCAATTATTTTGATTTTTTAGTACAACGGTCATGTATTTTTTTTTTTAATTAGTAAGAACATCTTAGACGAAGCCATAATGATTCAAACTCTATAAACAGCTTATGCAAGGAGAACAGAATAAAAAGTCGTTGATTCCCATAAAAACTTCCAAATGGATTTGACCACTTTTGTTTCTAACCGACATAAATATTCGAAGGCTATTTTAACACTGTATAAAACGGAAAATTTGTTGCGTTTTAACATTATACATTTATATGGAAATGGAATGAAAAATGGACGCAATGTCTCTACTGCTTATTAGGCTAATCCATTTTACAAAATTTCCAAGTACAAGCATTACTATGTCTTAATACTACTGGAGATGTAAAAGTTGTAAAGCAGTATTAAAAAATAACAATTTTTACAGGTACAAAATTAATGTTGGTCCACAGAAATAATAGCGCTATGGCAACACAGAATACTTCTATCTGTACCCTCGACTCTATTCCCAAACCATAGAGTTTACATTACAATAAGTCAATTAATTAACCTTTGCACACTGTTTATTCAATTGGTACGCGGCATCAATTCATTGCAATTGTGCGCAAACTTGCGAATTCCATTGACTAGACTTAATAAAAACAATGTAAGCTTGCACTAAAGTAGGACGTGATTCTTATTACAAATGTTTTCATAAACACTCACACATATAAGACTCAAACAGTTATAAAATGTTAACAAACAACATTCAATAGCTATTTGTGAATTTGTACATATTAATACCGATGTTATCTATGCTAAATTATTTACAAAAGTGACTAGGAAAGCTAAAGTACTCAGGTATTCTTCAAGGCGTTACGTGCGTTTTAAGCATTAGATTAAGTGCTTAACTAATTACTTAAAAATAAACTTAATATACAATTAATTACATATTTACGTGAGATTCTGTTTTAGAAACTTATTCATAATGTCAATGCTAAGAAAGTGTATTGATATTAAATTAATAAATGCAGTTACACTTCAGTCAATATAATGAAAGCCACTATAAAAACGGTTATTTAGGAATGTTAATGTACGTTCATAAATTCATTCTTAAAGCGCAGAAAACCTAAAATTTAGATATAATTCTAACCTATTCTTAGGGGCTGTCCATCACGTGATGTGATATGATACGTACATGTGAGGTGATAAGTACTGAGGTTCGAGACTAAACCAAAAATCACGTGTATTTTTAGTACAAAGTATAATCTAATCCTATTCGTGAAAATTAAGGACCTTGATAATAATGTCTAGACAGAAAGGTTGTGTTTGACTAAAAACATGTATTGTATTAGTTAGTACATGAACATATTTAATGTTCATTAGCAAGACTGTCAGTTGTTGGCACTGTACTTTGTTAAAGATCAACGTTTTAAAAATCACGCGTTTGACAAAAAATAAGTACACGTGATGTGATATCTTACTCCCCCTCCATCCCCTCCACCTTGTGATATTTCGTGATTTTTGCTGAACCCCCTCCCCTTCGAACCTCACGTGATTAATGGACAGCCCCTTAGTGGATTAATAATTTATTAAGCGTGTTTAATCTAAAGAGCTGAATTTGTGCACTTGATTATTCGCCTAAACAAATCAAACCATTGATTTTGCTAGCGATTTGTGACTAGCGCTTAAATCTATTTTAGTTTCCAACTAGTAATATATTATTAATCTGAGAATTATAAAATCACATTTGAAATAAATACATCTATAAAGTTTAAAAAAAATTACGTAATAAATTAAAACTTTCGTAAATATAAGCGTAAATACTTGTGTTTAGGAATGATATTTCTATTTAAAAATAAAATTTCGTGTAAATGTACGACAGGCAAGGTGGCAAGCGTGTATTTTTATTTTTGAAAGAATCTTGCTGTTTGTCTGTGGGCCTCGACAGGTCACCACGCGTTGTATGTGTCAACGCGTTAGATGCGCTAACGTTATACAGTCCTACGCATTGGGAAAAATAACAATGGAAATGGGCTCCTGTTGAACGTGGACTTTAAGTCGCGAATTTAAGTAGACATATTGTTAACGTGTACTTAACCACTATTTTCAATAGCTCACTTCAGGATTCATAGCGGTTGTTCACGGGTCCGGTTGTACTTTTGTTTGCAAATAACCTAAAAGTCGCCAATATTTGCGAGACGCGTGATCATTCCCCAAAACTCAAAAACGTGCAACGTAAATCTAATACAACACTTATAGAATATTTTACCTATAATTATCTTAACCTAAGCTTCTGCAATTACAAAATATAATTTGCTAAAATCTCGCGTGAACTAATTTGTGCAATTTAACCTCTAAAGCAAGCTGTTATAAAACTTACATAACACGGATTACTTCCGCAACTCAAAGCGATTTAAATATATTATGGCGTATATCATTAATATTTTAAATAGGAATACTAACATTCCTTAATATATTTTTAAAAAGCAGTGAAACATTTTTGACAGAGACAGAGCCGTGTTGCCAGACGTCCCGATTTTTAAATATTTTTATTAATATGTCCCCTTCGACCAAAATCCCGACTTTGACGTCAAGACATAAGTTATATAATCCGTAAACTTGGGTTAGGGACCGTTCAAGTATTACGTCACGCAATTGGTATTAAACCCCCCCATGTAGCGCGCCGTAACGTTTTTCTGTACCCTCTAGTAAAACGTTTCGTGGTTGGCAAAGTGGTTTCTTTATACCTTAAAGTTACCATTACGTGGTATAAAGTACTGGAAAGTCGAAAATAATATTAACAATAACGCGTAATTCGATCCCCGCCCCGCATCGTAACGTTTTACGAAAATTCGTTACGTAATACTTGAACGCTCCCTTACCCAAATCCATCAAGCTGTAAAAAGTTTTACTATACAATGCCATAATATATTTATTTCTCTTTGGTAAAACGTGTCCAAAAATTTGACACATCAGAATTGACTACTGTCACGTTTACCTATTGGTATCCGTTAATTATAGAGATTTAACGACTCCCAAACGCTTAGGCCAGCTAAAAAATCAATATTGGTAATATAATAAAAAATTAGAAGAATATCTGTAGATTCACCATTACAGCTGAATAAAGGCTAAAGTCAATTTTAGATCTACACACACAGAATCAGTTTTACTGCATTTTTCATGTCAATTCTAATATTGTTCTAGAAATAATTTGCACATAATGTCATTAATTCTTTAAATATTCAATATTAGTAATTTTATTGTTAATTTCAGTTTTGACGACAAAACTTGTTTCAAGCCTCCAACCATTTGGCAACAATTACTCCAAACAAAATTTCAGCAAAAATCCCTGAAACAAGTCTTCTCGAATGTTCCACAATCTCTCAAATTTGCGAATCAAAAAAGCTCAACAACCTTCTTCTTGAGGTACTCTTTCAGTGGCGCGTAGTAGTGATGCCTTAGCGATACAAGTTCCGGTTTTCGCTTCAAGGGTCTGAAAAGGGGCCAATCGGTTTCGAAGAGGAGAAGAATCCCTAGAGCGAGAGAGAGCCATACAAACAAAAAGGATGGAACGAAAGCGCGAAGTAGGCTAAAAGGTCGGGGGGGAGGTTGAAGGGCGGGAGGTCGCCAGTCGTCCGTAGGCTGTGAAGCGTGTGACACGTGCGTAGCGTGGGTCGTCGCTCCTGACTCAGTTGAAGAGTGCTCGAATGAATCGCGCGCGTATTCAGGACACGCTGTGGAAGATTTCATTCTTGTTTTTACACGCTTTATATTAGCTTCACCTGTATGTATGTATGTATGTAACCGACTCCTTCGGACTCCATTTTGATCCACTTTAAACGGACAGATTTAATTCAAACTTTGTACACTTATAAAGAATCAGCGACAATATAATCATTTCATAGGTTTATCTCGAAAAAACAATGAATTTTTTTTTAAGTCCACAAAGCAATACGGTTAAATTGAGACAACACGTATTGCTGCTAGGACTAAAAAGTGGAAAATAAATATAGTTAAAAAAAACTAAAAAACACGCTTTTAAAGCACATCAAACTAAAAAGTGAAAAATAATTCCTTATTTAGGCTGAAAATGGTAATGAACAAAAAATACTGGTATTATTGTGAAAAAGCGTGGGGCGCTCTGTGCCATAGTTTTCGTCTATCGAGCAACCCACCACTTCTACAGCGACTATACTAAAAATATATTAATTCGATACCTGTTTTATCATCAGATACGGTCCTAAAATGGTCGCAAAGTGCGATATCAACAGCGGCGCCGCTAAGCAAGCATCCGCCAGTACAAGCCTCACCATCCGGTATATTAGATCCTGGAATTGCACTTTCTTCTAACGGGGCACTGTGTGTAGATCGTGGTAAGCTGCTGTAGCCTATAAACATCTTGAATTTAGCTGAGAAGATAAGGACGGATAGATCAGTTTATGCAGCTATCCCTTTCTCACGAAAGAGTAAGGTTTGTTGGTTTTGTTCGGCTATCTTCATGCTTTTCATACATTTATTAGGGAACTTACCAAAATCTCCAGTCATAGGAGTGGAAGGCGTTGCTGGTACACTAGATGCTTTTCGTTTCCCGCCAGTAGTTGAACCCTCATCCTACAAAAAGATCATGATTATCTATAGATGATTTAAATTCACAATTCGTGTTGACGTTTTTTTTTACAAAAAAAATTTCAATGACAGACGAACTGTTGATTTTTGAAGTTATACTTCTTTAGGCGCGTTATAAAAAATTTATGAGAGTGAAATTTTACGATGCGCGCGCACCGTGACACAAAATTAACAGAATGAAGTTAGTTCTAGATGGCATGAAAATCTATAATAACTATGTTCAAGTTGTATATTCTAGTATTTTTATATTAAGAACACGTGTTAAGTAACAGTACAATTAAACAGTGTGAATAAATAAATATTATTTTGGTGTTTTTTTAAATCAATTTCATATACGACGGTGATAGTATTTACTAATAATAATTTTATTGATTAATTTTAATATTTATCGTTAATCACTACTGCATTTTAGTTATTTTTTTCCATACGCCAAAGAAGTATAACTTCTAACGCGTGTACATAAGTACACACACTCTTTTTTTTTTATTATAAACATTTGGCTCATATTAAATTACAAAAATCTTTTACCTGAGAGTCTCTAGACGCCAGCAGGCCGTCTCTTTCTAATATCTCCCTCTCCGTTCGGCCCACGTACTTAAATTTAGTACCCCATGAGAATAACCCTCCACCGGAGTAGACGCAAGCATCTGATGACGACGGTAATCTATAAAAATATTCAAATGACAATATAGCTAATATTTTACAGATTAATTTACCATTAAAAAATATATAAATTCCTTCATTAATATCTGTAAATATCGATTAATCTTGTATTGCGCAAATTTCTATTAATTACACATGCTTGCATGTAGCAAAATCTGTGCAAATTACGTATAATTTTTAACCTATAGCAGGGCTAATTCAATAGATGACATTTGACATATGTCAGTTTTAGCGCCATAGGCCTTAAAACATTGATTAAGGTGAATGATCGATACGAACTTCATACATATATGAAACGTATTTAGTTATTATGTTCTTTACCTATACGTATATATTTTTTTTAAATATCCATCGTAAGTATAAGGAACAAAAAAGGACAAGAAATATTCCTCACAAGTATTCATTGCATTCGATTCTTATTAACTTTCGATTTGGGCAACATCCCTAGTATTTAAAAATTCCCATACTCCTCCGAAACGGCTCGACCGATTCTTTTGAAATTTTTTATGCATATTCAGTAAGTCTCAGAATCGGTTACTTATCTTTCAAACCCTTAAGTGAGGAGGGGTGTCCAACCCAAAAACAAATTATTCTTTAGACAATTTTTTTTTAAAGTTATTTTATAATATCTTAAACCCCTCTACGATCAACCCCTATTTTTTATTATAGTAGATAGTTATTTTTATTGAACTAAAAATGTTTCCAAAAAAATTTATACATGGCAAAACAACGTATGCCGGGTCAGCTAGTATAATACAAATTCAAACTTTGAAATAAGGGAGCGTTCAAGTATTACGTAAAGCGTTTTTTGGGTGTCTCCTTTTGTAAAACGTTACGATGCGGGGCGGGGATTGAATTACGCGTTATTGTTAATATTATTTTCGACTTACACCACATAATAGTAACTAAAGAGTCACTAGGTGGTCACGAAACGTTTTACTATACTTGGGTACAGTACTGTACTTGGGTAGTGAAAAACGTTACGGCGAGTAACATGGGGGGGTCAATAATCTCCAAAAATTGCGTTACGTAATACTTGAACGCTCCCTAAGGCGTCAAATGTAATTTATCAAATTGACCCTAAAGTTGCAGTTTTGTACATTTAGCTAGAAGCTTGACACGACGTTTTTGTTAAATGTAAATGTTCGTGAACACAATTTAATTTACTACATCGAGTTCATTATTAGAATCGCTATCGGAAATAGCAAGAAGCCCTCTTGTTTGCGCTACACAAATATTAAAATAATTAAATAATAAATTTAGTGGCTTGACAGCACGGCATATTACTGCGATTATTTGTGAAATATAAAAAGTAAACCATTATTTTAATACTTACGTAAAAAATAACATTTGTTCAATCGCACAGCACCACACGTGCCTGCACGCGGCGCCACTCGGACACTTGAAACCAACCGTATGCTTTTTCTGAAATATTAAATGCATGAGTAATACATTGTATATTTTGTCACACTTTTGATATCTATTTAATTTTTGTTAACTTCATAAGATAGGAAAAAATTTTATTGTAACTTTACTTCTTTATAATATTAGATAAAAAATACCTCTGGATAGTTAAGATGAACGATGAACATTCGTCCTTCGAAATTTATTTTGTGCACTTCAGACCATTTGAAATGATGCGTCTTTCTGCTTCCTTGGAATGTTAATATACCGCAATGGTTAATACCTAAGTACAGTTGATTGCCCCTGTGATCCTGAAACCACGTTATTATACATTATAAAAAGTATGTCATCAAACACTTAACTTGTAAAAAAAACAAGTCACTCAGTTCTTCTACCGTAAAAAGTTGTGAGATCCATGTACAATAGGCGCAGCCAAAGATGAGACTTGACGGATCACGTGGTTAGACCTGCGCAATAGATAGTTCTCAGACCATTTTGGCGGTAAGCGAGGCAAGCGGGGAGGGACGGGACCGTTGCGCGGTGAGACGAGAGCGTGCGGGGCGAGGTACGGCCGCCGCGCATGCGTATCAGTCGTGTGACGCTCCCCGCACCTTGCTCTCACGCCGCTGTGGTCCGAAGTACTGATCAGTGCAAAAGTTGATAGTTGTTTTCCTTTGTTTCGTTTTTTTGTTATAGTTATTCGTTATTGTATATTTGTTACAGTATTGTTTTTATTTTGTTGTGTTTGTTGATATGGGAGGCAAAACTTTAAAAAGACAAAGTAGGAAGATGGTGTATGACGTTTACAAGTTTATGGCGAAAGAAGCGGAGGAAGGCGTCGGCAATTTGAAAGCGGTACAAAAACGTACCGCTGCTGCCACTCAGACATCACTTATCACGGTGAAGAGAATTGTGAAGGAAGCAAATAGCTCAGATTGCTGTCCGTGTTTCGTACTCCGGGAAAAAAACGTCCGAGATCAAACCCCGTAACCGGCATGGATGATTTTGATAAAGGGGTGATCAAACGCTGTATTCACAATTTTCATGTAACAAATAAAGAACTCGGAAAATACCGTCAAGAAGGCTGCCCTATAATATACACAGACGAGTCATATGTGCATTCTACGCACACAACATCAAAAGGTTGGTCTGATCTGTCATCGGAAGGACTAAAAAACCAATTTCAAAGGTAGCGGGTTGTCATCGTGCACGCAGGTTCTGAAGATGGTTTTGTTCCAAATGCCTTATTAATGTTCAAATCAGGAACAAAATAGGGGATACCACGACGACATGAATTTCATTAATTATAAAAAATGGTTGAGACACAATTGATTCCAAATCTCCCACCAAATGCCGTCGTGGTAGTTGATAATGCGTCCTACCATAACAAGGAGGATGAGAATGCGCCAACTTCGAATACGAAAAAAGCCGAGATGCAATCTTGGCTTGCAGAAAAAGGTATCGCGTTTACTTCCGACATGTTGAAGTCAGAGCTTTACGACATAATAAAAAAACACAAAGAGAGCCACAAAATCTACAGCATCGACAAAATACTGCAAGAACATAACCACCGCGTTCTTAGATTGCCCCATATCATCCGATTTAAACCCTATGAAATGGATGGGCAGCAATAAAGGTCATGTCAGTAGTAAGAAGTGAAGTGGAACATTACAAGAGTTATGGAGTTGGTGAAGGAGAAGGTAGACCAAATGGGTCCAAATGAATGGAAAGCTTTATGTGAAAAAACTAAAAAAATAGAAAATTAATACATTGAAAATGATCACATTATTGACGATTTAAAGATAGGAAATAATAATAGAGTTGGCGCTTCTTTGATGATAGTGAAGTGACACGGAGAATAGTGAAAATAGTGACGAAGATGAAATAGTGACAACCAGCACAGTGGGAAGCTGTATAGTGGTTGCATGACCGACGAGTACATAAGGGTGTACGTTTTATAAACTATGAAGACAGGATAGCGATTTCGATATGCAATAAAATATTTATTAATGATAATTGTTTTATTTAACTATTTTGAAGGACTGTAATGGGAAATCTTAAGATGGTATGGGGGTAATACGAAATGGGTCAATTTATCCAGTCCAGAGTTAATTTGTGGGAAGATTGGTACGACCACAATAGATAACAGATAGTAACATACATAAAGTATGACACAATTAGAAATCAGCATAATTTAGGATCAAATTCATGACAATTAAAGTCTGACATTCCTCCTGTGCAATGTTGGAATAGCGTTGGACTTATTGAGAAGATATCATTAAAAGTGAAAGAAAATGTTACAAGACTATTTTTTTTACAAAACTCATGAGCGTTTTAGTTAACCTTGGTTCTGGTTGCATTTCTACAGAGTAACTGCAAGAAAATTGTTACGTTTTAAAAGGTTAATACAATTATGAAAATATAAAAAAATTGCATACCTTAACGGGGTGTGGATCAACACCATAAGTGTCAAGTTGACAGGCAATTTTAAGAAATGTTCGTTCTGCCTCCTGTGTAGACATCCCTTTCACTCCACCTGTGCCACCCGGAGTACCTTCCACTGGCTCTTGATGTAGTTCCTAGAAAAAGAAGAATAGCATTCAACTTCTAGATGTATTTTGTCTTATTATCAGCTAAATAAACTAATAATTAAACAATTAATCAAATCCATATCTATTTATTTTTTTAAGTTAATAAAAATTTATATGACTGAAATAATAAATAAGGAAATGAATATAAAATAATAAATAAATAAGTAAGAATATAATATAATAAACAGATACTAACCTGTATTCTAGCCTCAATGGCATCAGTCTGTCTTAGCAAAAGCCTCATTTCTGTCACATAATTCCCGACATGAATATTTGGATCATAATCACCAAGTTCAACTGAAAATTGTATGAAATGTCACTATTTTAGATGAATGATTTTAAAAAATGACTAACCCAACTTTATGATTATTATAGAATCAGAATAAACATTTTCCTACTTCAATGATACATTTATTTAACTTGGTGTATATGCATGAAAAAAGTCGAAACAGCACTTTCTTTTTAAGATTGAATAAGGCAATTGCAAACAATTTACCTTTATTTAAGACATTTACATTTTCTTACTTTAAGACATTTTTTAATTAAATAAATGTAAATATATTAAATTAAAAAATGAAAATATATACTATTTTATATTACTAAATAGTAATTAACAGCAGTAGTAAAATTATAAATGTTATAAGCTTACTCTGAATGATAAGTGCACCAAGCATTGCAGCTTCATTTGCAGTGCAATAAAGTCTTCCATGAAGTAAATCCCGTTTCAATTGTAAATAAATTTGGAACCGAGTGACATCTTCCTTTAGCAACAATGGATTAGGAGGATAAAATTTCACCCGAAAACTAAACAATATTGGAGTTGCATCTGTAAACAAAGTTCAATATATAATGTTTATTATTTTCTTTACATCATTTAAGTGTAAGAGATTAAAGAACTAAACACTAAACTTACCCTTAACTTGTTTTAGTATTAATTTGGCCAAATGTAGCCAATGCTGTAATAAAAGATGTAAAAATTAATTTTAAACATAATTTTTAATAATCTATCAGATAGTTTGTTTTCATTGTATTTTAAATAATATAAAATACAAAAAGTGGTACGGAAATAGAATAAATGTAATAATTTACCCGTTGACCATTAGCATCCACATATCTTAGACCAAAATAATCTGTTTCAGTTAAATTTAATTGTTGGCAAACATGTTCCAGTAAGAATTTTCCTTTGTAACTAGGCTAAAACCAAAAATCTCATTAAACAGGTTTTTAGGCATAAAATTAAAGATATATAATATCATATTAAACAGATTTATAATTATATATATATTATATAATAATAAATAGCCAACCATAGTTAAAAAGTATATTAAAAGTAATGCATTTACAGTAAATAGACTTACGTGAAATTCGCATTCTAAAATCTCTGTATCCTCCAATAACCGTACTGTACATTTATAAACAATATTACTATCGCCGCGGCTTTTAAACATATTGAATTTGATTGTTAGAATCAATACAAAAATTACTAAACTTATTTGTAAAATGTATCACTATAACCGTCCATCATGAAATTAATAAAATTATTTAAATAAAATTTAATTATTATATCCAGAAATACCTAGTGAAATATTAAATACTTGCTTAACTATTCATGAACGGGCTTTATTTAATTTTAATGGAAAAACGTAATAATTGAAAACTACACAACATTTATATGATGCTCAGGAGCTGCATGTTATGTTTTTTTTTTTAGAAAATCAAGGGATTATGACTAGGTTATTCGCGAAAACGTCTAAAAACTAATTGTCAGAATGCTGGTGGTTTGGCATTTGGCAATAAATTTAATCATGTCATGTTTTCTCGTAAGTAATCAAGTTAAAACGCTGTCGAAAAGACTTTTATTTATTATGAATTAGGAAATCAGGCTTTAATTTATTGAAATTAAGGTCAAGATTCTGAAACGAGACTTAGCGCTAAGTCTGACTCCTGTACATCAAAAAGTTGTTGGATTTTGATTTGACATAGTTTCGGAAAATAATCAACATAATATCAAGATGTAATTCATAATTATCTCAGGTCTTAATATTTTTTTCCCGGAACAATACTACCGCTAACTTACGTAAATTAAGAAACGATAAAAATTGTTTTATCTCTCTTTTACCAATTATTATGATGGCGTTATATAAATACGTCATACGAAAGAAGAAACATATTATTATCCTTTTGTTGGCTTCTTTAACACGGTTTCTATGGTTTTGTTCTTAATGGGTGAAATGTAATATCCTATATATTAATCCCGTTTATCAAAATTCAATATGTTTGGACGTTAGGTCTCGTCTCCACACTCGATTCTCTTATACTAAATCTAATATAATCTAAACCTTTAAAAGTGCAAAGCAGTATATACAATAATATTTTAAATAATATTGCATATATTTAAAAATTAAACAATAAAATTTTATTTTAATAAATATACAATATATATTAAATACATTTTCGAAATTAGTGTAATAGTAAATCCAGAAATATTCATCGATTATGTAAAGCTATAACTCAACTCCAAAAAAAGTTTGCAACTTGGAATTACAGATTGCTCGTAAGTTTCAGAACGCAAACGGATTTGACGCAATCTTGAGGGTGGCTATGCAAAATGTTTACAACGTATTATGGAAAATAATTATTGTAAGCGGGAGTTATGCAACCTAACATTAGTTAAGATACATATAATATATAAAATATAGTTTATAGTTAGAAGCGCAAACCAAATGTTAGGAATCATCGCAGACTAGAAGCCAAAATGAGCCCTTTAGCACTTTCCTTTTTGATAATGTCCAATAGGTTGACTACACTTATATTGAAGTGTCACTTAGATATAAAGACCCTTAGTTAGATTTTTGTAATCGTCGCAACCCCACTACCCAATTTTTGAAGTTATACTTCTTTAGGCGCGTTATGAAAAATTTATGAGAGTGAAATTTTATAATGCGCGCGCACCTGTGACACAAAATTAGGAGTGTGATTATGGCGTGCGCGAGCGAGATAGGAATAAGACAATCTACAAGTAAAAAGAAATAGAATATGCGTGAAGTTCGTATGCCAAGAATTTTGAATGACCATAATGACATTTGTCATTTACCTTTTAAACAAATAAAGGAGTTTTAATTATTTTTTCAAAGAAATTTAGCAATGCTTTTTGAATTATAATCAGAAGTGATTTAAATTGAATATTTAAACCAATACTAATTAATATTTGTGAAAAAACTGTGCTCATCAACCTTCCTAAGTGCTTCAATACAATTGAGGTTAACTATCCGTATGTTTTATTATTATCGAGTAATGTTTTGATTAAAAAAATGACCACATTGTTTAATCAAAACATGTAATTTTTCTGATTTAATCTAGTAAATATAAGGACAAGAGACAAAAATCTATTGATGAATCAGTGTAAGTGCACTAAATTGAATACAAAAAAAGAGTTGTCATCTTATCGCTGTGAAACATCAAAAACTGGAGGTGGAACAAAGCCAAACTATTTTTAATAATGCCAAAGAAGTATAACTTCTTACGCGCGTACATAAGTACACGCACCCTTTTTTTATTAGTTATAAGGTCATATTTTAAACGATAAAAGCCAGTTGACATTCAGCTTCAAATAAAAAGTTTCATTTAACATATACATATTTAAACACATCAACCGCCACCGAACCTAACTCGGGTTTCATATTTTTAGTATGAACAATAATTTATTAATACACAATATTTTTATAAATAACTTCTCAAGTTTCCTGATACTGACAAATAATGCCGATAAAGATGTACGTAAAGAAATCTTAATATATTTATCCTAATATAAACGCAATCCTTTTTCAACAGAAACTGAGCCCATGCAGACAAATTAAATATAATGCAGTAGGTATATTTGACTATAGTCAAAATAAGTCACAATTATTTAACGTATTTATGAGTTTTCTGTTTTCTGTCCTGACTAAAGGGCATTATAACGTTTACACTTTATCAAAGACGATGAACAACAATGTTTTTTAATAGAGTCTGGCTAATGAAAGAAGATAACGAAAAAGCGCGGCATATTCAAAAAAAATTAGTATAAATACACATACATAGAAAACTTATAAATTTAGTATGAATGTTTGATATATTTTGTGGATTAAACTTACTTGATACTTGATTTTATTATTTTTTACATTGGTAGTATCTGTATTTCTACATTACATGGAAAACTAAAACTATATTTATTATAAAACACAACTTTATTCGGAATAATCAAATCCTGCGAAAGAAACGAAATATTCTATCAAATAAAACAAAGTTTAGGCTGTTATACCTGTTAACTATTCGAAAAAAATATATAATAGAAATAAGAGTAATTGCATGAAGTATCAAGACAATAAATCATACTAACCTAAGAAATTCAATGACATTCTGTGTTGCCATCCGAAAGTTTTCAAATCATTCAATTATTTTCTTTTATTAGCCAAACTAGTAAAATACGAATACATCTACATATCATACAAACAGTAAGTGGAAAATAAAATTTGTTAGCATGTCAACACTAAAAACCGGAAGTTGCTCCTTTTCTTCTCCTTCCAGACTAATGAAAATCCATATCTCGGCCATTCTGTTGGAGTCTTTCTCGGATAATACACGCTATCCGTGGTGAGTGTCAAAAGCAACAAAGTGCAGTGCTTATTTGTAGTGATTCTTGCTAAAGTTATTAAAAGTTTTAGTATCAGTGTCATTATATGTTATTGTAATTTCTGAAGTTACACGTTTATCGAAATTTTTTCGTGTAGATTAGTAATTAAAAGGTGCAATCTACCTCTAAATAGACTATAGCCTAATTGAAAAATAACTTACAACTTGTTAGATCGTTTTTTGTTTCTATTTAAATTAAAATTTGATGTTCTTTTTCTAACTTGATCGCCGCCTACGCGGCATGAAAGTTAGACCGGCACATGTCACCACGTGGTTGTGAATCAGTTTGGTTTACCGCATGTTGAGCAATAATTATTTCTTGTATATTATAATTCTATTTACTTATCTACCTATTAGTCTTATTTTTTGCATAATTTTATGTTCTCAACTTCTCAATTTATCGTAATGGCTGACGTCCATTGTTAAACGTCAAGATAGGGCGAGGCGGCCATGCGGCGGCCATATTGCCGGCCGCGTATTCGATCATTTAACGACCTTGTTAAGGTGCATCGTTCTCTAAATATCGCGAAAAGTTTTCTTGAATGTTAATTTCCATATTTTTTTTTCAGACTAACCAAAAATGGGAAAGGAAAAGATTCACATTAACATTGTCGTCATTGGACACGTCGACTCCGGCAAGTCCACCACCACCGGCCACTTGATTTACAAATGTGGTGGTATCGACAAACGTACCATCGAGAAGTTCGAGAAGGAAGCCCAGGAAATGGGTAAGGGTTCCTTCAAATACGCATGGGTTTTGGACAAACTGAAGGCCGAGCGTGAACGTGGTATCACCATTGACATTGCTCTCTGGAAGTTCGAAACCGGCAAATACTACGTTACCATCATTGATGCCCCTGGACACAGAGATTTCATCAAGAACATGATCACTGGAACTTCCCAGGCTGACTGTGCCGTACTTATCGTTGCCGCCGGTACTGGTGAGTTTGAAGCTGGTATCTCAAAGAACGGCCAAACCCGTGAACACGCCCTTCTCGCTTTCACGCTTGGTGTCAAGCAGCTGATTGTTGGTGTCAACAAGATGGACTCTACTGAACCTCCCTACAATGAGTCTCGTTTTGAGGAAATCAAAAAGGAAGTTTCCTCTTACATTAAGAAGATCGGATACAACCCAGCTGCCGTTGCTTTCGTACCCATTTCTGGCTGGCACGGAGACAACATGTTGGAGCCATCAACCAAGATGCCCTGGTTCAAGGGATGGAATGTTGAACGTAAGGAAGGCAAGGCTGAAGGTAAATGCCTGATTGAGGCTCTTGATGCTATCTTGCCACCTGCCCGTCCCACTGACAAGGCCCTACGTTTACCCCTTCAGGATGTATACAAAATTGGTGGTATTGGAACAGTGCCCGTCGGCAGAGTTGAAACTGGAGTCCTCAAGCCTGGTACCATTGTCGTATTCGCCCCAGCTAACATCACCACTGAAGTTAAGTCCGTTGAAATGCACCACGAAGCTCTCCAAGAGGCTGTGCCTGGAGACAACGTCGGCTTCAACGTAAAGAACGTCTCTGTCAAGGAATTGCGTCGTGGTTACGTCGCTGGTGACTCAAAGAGCAACCCACCTAAGGGGGCTGCCGACTTCACAGCACAGGTCATTGTGTTGAACCATCCTGGACAAATCTCCAACGGTTACACCCCAGTCCTTGATTGCCACACAGCTCACATTGCTTGCAAATTCGCTGAAATCAAAGAGAAGGTAGACCGTCGTACTGGAAAATCAACAGAAGACAACCCTAAATCCATCAAGTCTGGTGATGCT